TATCTATATATATATATATATATATATATATATATATATATATATATATATATATATATATATATATATATATATATATATATATATATATATATAATTCAATTTGTTTTGGTTGCCTAGATATATAAAGTGCTCAATACTAAAAGTATAGCAGAGCTTATATATTAGCTTATATATTAGCTTGTTGAACAAAAGATCCGAGTTCTTCGCGAAATGTCGCCATCGAGAAAAATTCAGCGCCGGGAAATTCGAACGCGCGCGAACAAACAAGTTAACGCGTCAGCGAACGGTTGATGATGATGCAATCACGTAATCAGTAACAAAATCGTGAACAAAATCGCCTGATGATCGTCTAGAAAGGACGTGAAACTCAGAGTAGCGATATTTAATTTTAAGATATAGACAATATATATATATATATATATATATATATATATATATATATATATATATATATATATATATATATATATATATATATATATATATATATATATATATATATATATATATATATATATATATATATATACTATATACTATATTTCTTAATAAAATGATTCAAATATTACCCATATACCAAAAATCCTATTAGGGGTTAGTGGCAACAATTATCGTTGTCATATCCGATGTTGTGTTGTTTCGTTTGCAGGCTTAATAGTTAGCAATTTGCCTGTTTTACTTAAACAAGCTGTTAAATCTCACGAAAAATACCCCAGTCATACATGGGTCTCCAGATCACTAGTCTGACACTCTTCGTTGCAGTAACCTGAGTTAAATTCTGGTAATTAGCCATTTCCCAATCGAACAGAGGACTGGGTCTAGTCGCTTGTTTGGAGGGACAAAAAAATAAACAATATGCCGAATATGGCATCTATATAGGAAGTTTTCCTACATTCCTAAAGTTATTTGTGCAGTCTGAAAAGCAACAAATATAATAAGTCTTAGTATTACGTATTTAGCTCGCTCACTATAACTTGTTGTCCCTCCAAACGTCCCTCCAAACATCAACTAGATCCAGTCCTCTGCTCGATTGGGAAATGGCTAATTAAACCATCCCTGGGGACACTACATGCAATAAGTTGTGTTATAGTAACATTGTACTTGTTGTTTGTCTACAAGTCGCTATGCATGTCTGAGTGTCAAGTCTGCAATTTTATATTTGGTGTTAAACTTGCTATGTTATTAATTTGTTAGCAAAACAAATTAAGAGCACAGTAGCTATCAAAATAACATAACAATAGTCTGGATTTCTCTAGTCTTAAATCAGTTGTTTGTTTTCGCTCACAACGTTTCGGAACAACTGGTTTAAGGAAACATCCTACAGTTTCTAATACACTGTATATCAGTGTTTTCAACTAAAAGCTCTTTCGAACGTTATTGGCAGCTGAGAAACTCAATTTTTGCATAAGCCTTTATGTCCTCTTATATCAAAGAGTAATTTTCAACACACAATCGTTACTCTTGACGTTACCATGGCAACATGACTTCACCGTTTATCTAGCCTATATCATCCAAAAATGCCATCATTGCAGAAATATAAGAACGGTGACCTACCTTTTTTATTGCACAAAGTACGTTATTATGACAATCCGAATCTTTTCAGAAAGTTGTTTGAAAATCGCCAGTGCAGTTTTTTTTTAAAGCCAAAAGTTTTACAAAAACTACCCTGGCAATTTTCAAAAAACTTTCTGAAAAGATTTAACAAAATGCCATAAATAATAATGTACTTTCTGCAATAAATAAAGTTGGTCAACGTTCTTATATTTCCGCTATGATGGTATTTTTGGATGATATAGACTAGATAAATGGCGACATCATGTTGCCATGGTAATGTCAAGAGTAACAATTGTGTGTTAAATTACTCTTTGATATAGCGTGAGTCGGTTTCTAAAAAAAACGAAAACCATAGTGAACCGTTTGTTTTTTTTTAAATACGTTCGAAAATCGAAACTACGGTAAAAAAAGACACACCACGCTACTCAGTACTCACACAAGATATTAAACGTAAGGTATTTTGAAGACGTTACCAATTTTCAAACAAAATCTCTTTAGTTTTTCGTGTGTAAATGCCAAAACTTGATTCATTTGCAACAAACTCGTATAAGTATGGTTCGATTTTAGTAAAATATTGATTTTTCTTCGGGTTTCCCCCCGGTTTTTCTCCAGAAGTAACATCGAGTGTTTCGGTTTTCAAAAAACATCGGTTTTTTTTGGTTTACCGAAAAAGCGCCTCACCCTACTTTGACATACGAGGAAATAAAGGCTTATGAGTTTCTCAGCCTATAGTAAATAAAATAATGTGGCCTAACATGAAAAGTGTGTAGAAATGAGCCTACTAGTATGGATAAGCATACTAGTATGGATATTTTAAAGTAAAAACAAAATGAAATTTGAAATTTATTGTAATATTGTACATAAACATTTTGCATTTTAAAAATGCAATCCATAACTTTTTCTGCAGAATTTTGTGTATTTTTACACACAGCAGCTTTCACTCAAACTTTAGACTAATGGGATATTATTTTGTGTTAATCATAGCCCAAACATGTGCAAATTTGATTATTTGAAGCATTGCATCATTTATGTTTTTGGAAATTTAACCCATTGAGTACCAGTTCTGTCCAATTGACAAGTAAAATGGCCTGGCATTAGACAGAGTAAAACAATAAACTAGGGCATATTAGTGCTTAATGCAACTCAATAGTTTAAGTGAAGAACATACCTTTTGGTACTTCAGAAGCTGTAGTTTCTTGTAAGAGTTTCGGTGATGGCGACCTTGTCTGCTGAAGAGTGGTCGACACAGGATGAACTGGTCGAGGCATGCCGGGTAAGGCGTGTAGCTGACCAGGTAGACCTGGTTTTAAATGATGAGCAACAACTGGTTGTCTACCAGGAGCTGCAAGTGGTTGTCGTGGTGGGACATGTACACCCGCTGGTGTAGGTACGCCTGGTGGTGCCGCAGATACTGCTAATGCAGGCATGTGTCGAGGAAAGGGAAGGAAGGCAGGCACTGTACCATGAGCTTGCATCATAACTGACGGCATTTGAGAGTACATTGTACCAAAGGTATGTGGAAGAAAATGACTTGTTGGGTTGAGTGAAGGAAGATTGGCGGGTGCTATAGGCCTGCTTTGCGATGACTTCTAAAATTACCAAATAAAATACATGTATATTACGGTAAATTAAACAATTTACAAGCCCTATTATTAGCGAACTGTAAAGTTGGGCGGTATACCGATATTCTTAGTTATTCACAGTATTTAGTTGATACCGGTTATGGCGGTGTTGGTTGGGGCATATTCATATATTCGTGTTCACAGACCTTAAAAACAATCGCTTTCAAAAGAAATTAATAATGCAGAACACGAACATATGAGTATGGACCCCCCCCCCACATTAGGGAGCTTTAGATTTGACTACGAGTCGAGATTCGTCAAGCTAAAAGCATGCTAAAAGCATCCCGTACTGTCGCGAAAAAATCGTAGTCGTCGCCCATTTGAGTACAAAATTGTGGAGAAACCTCATAGTCCTCACGACGACTTTTCAAAAAAACAAAGAAAGTTGGCTTTTTTTTGTTTTCCAAAAATAATTTGTAGCATTTATATATAGCGTTTATCCTGGCGCAAATAATATATTAGTACTAAATATCTGGCCTGTTTTCAATGTTATGACTTATTTACACGTCTTGTAGGGGTTTTAGTCTGCGGGAGATTTAGTTTATGAAACTTTTTCTCTCGGTGGTTTCCTGTTATAAAAGCAACATTTGAATGGAAACGAAAACGACTACGGTGATTTCCTTGCACGCGATCAAATCTCGTACTCGTAGTCAAATCTAAAGCTCCCTATTATCGAGCTGGCTACGGTGCTGCAACCTGAAATGTTATGCAGCTTCATGTCACACAAACTGAAAATATCAAGAGTACGCCAAAGACAAATCAAACGATATTGAAGGAGCAATGCTGAAGACTTAAAAAGTATTTTTGGGCTAACTGGTTGCATAATTTTGAAGCAATATTTTTGCAAAGCATATTTGTTTAGACTCTAGATCCTGAGTTCTCACCAAACAACGAGGAAAATAAAAATACTGAATTTATTTCAATTTATGTAAAAGGCATATAAAAAGTCGACATGAACTCATGAAGCTTGAAAAGTTTTATAGTAGAAAGGCTGGCTTGCTAGGTTGGAAAAGATTTAGAAAAACAACGAGGTGACAAGCGCCAACAATTCAGGGAATATACAGGTAGTACTTCATGTTAGCATATTAACATACAGTGTAAAACAACATGAGTGAATCCCCCGCACATTGGCCCCGACCTGATGGCCAGCGCAGTGAAAACTTGCGCATTCCCCAGTGACCGGGGAAGGACAAAACGGTGAGAACAAGGCGAATATCCCCGGTATGCCCCGGGTACCCCCGAGGGGGGGGGGGGGGCGTTGGTTTCAAATGACTGGTGCATAATAGCATTGTAACAAGTTGTACCTACCTTGAAATTCTGTACGTCATACATGGTCAATCCATCTGCAATGCAAGAACTAAGCATGTTATGAAAAGGCATAAGAAATTTGGCTATACGAAACAACACTCAGACTTGAGAAATTTCTAATACGTCACTGCACTCAGAACCATATTAAGCAGGTTTGCAGTTACATAGGTGTAACTTAACACTTGCCCAGGGCAAGTGAATATCATGACGGGCAAGTAAACATTTTATCTTGCCACAAAAAGCTGGCCACCTTTAAGTTTATGTTTTCATTGTCGGATACATTTTTTATAGCGCATGTACTTGATTCAAATTTTGTTTTTTGTGGGCCAAAGCTAGGCTCGATTACTAGCCATTCCTTGGAACCTTCCCGAATGCTGGCTGGTAATCAAACCTAGGCCAAAGCTAAATCTGAGGCAGTATAACATTATACAAATAATGAATGTTTATGAGTTCAATGGTACAGTAAGAATATTTTCATGAGGTGAAAGATTGAATGTTCCATTCAACGAGGCGACAGCCGAGTTGAATGGAACATTCCATCTTTCACCTCATGAAAATATTCTTACCATTGCACGAATTAAAACAGGTTTACTATAAGCTCCCGCCATTTTGACGAGTCGTACGAATCCCTGACTATACAAATCCCATTTACCGAGTTTCGAATATCTGGTTAAAATAAACTGCGATCACCGTACGAGAAGCATTTTGATGGATGCGATTTATCGAAAACACAAAGAGTGCGATGGAATAAAACGTATAGTACAATTGCACTCGCAAGGAGTGCAATGGAACGTATTCCATTGCACTCTTGGGAAATGGAATTTTCTATTCAATATCATGTGATCATAAACAGCCAATTAAATGATCAGAATTCAATAAGGTATTATATAAAGTCATATAGAGCAGTGGGAGAACAGGTGGACATGTTGTCCCCTTAATTTATACCCCCTACCCTGCCCCTACCCAGGTACCCCAGTGGCCATTGTCTAATGGCAAGTGAATTTTATTCAGGGCAACTAACTTTCATGTCCAACTTGCCCTGAGGCCAAGTGGTCAAAAAAGTAAAGTTACACCACTGCAGTTAGCTCAAGTCTCTTGCAGGCAACCGGTTACCATGGATCCCAACATCTGACATGGAGGAGTTCAGATGATGACAGAAACAGTGTGACTTTTTAAAATTTCTCAACAATGAATAAAATAGCAGTTCAAATTTGACTTCCACTACCGTCTACTGCTACCATTAAAAGACTATCAACCAATCAGATGCATTCAATATATTCAATTAACCAGTCAGAGGTAGTGGTAGCGGTACTCAAATCTGAACCTCTATAATGATAATAGGGCCACCAGGCAAATAAAATCTCATTTGGAGTGCCTTGTATAAAGTATTATCAAGAAATAATTCCCAAAATGCATAGTTTCATATTTACAAAAATATTTAAATAATTCCACAATGAAACAGTGCTGTAGTGAACTTCATGCTCAATAATTTCAACGCCCTAACAGTAATTTCCAGTGTAAGTTGTAAAATCAAGAGGAAAAAAATATGTAAATACGTACAATCCAAAGTCTCGCCTGATGATACGTGGGCGGGACAAATCATAAATGCATTCTTGACTCACCCGCAAAATTTCAATTTCGCCGCCTTTACAGTATTTAGCCCGACTTGGAAATGTTAAAAATCAAACGTACCACCATTTATATTGTCTGCCATGAACCGAGGCATTGTTTCAAGAGCAGAATTTAAAACGTCTGTCAACTATAAACTGCAATATATTTTATACAATTTTCTATTCAAAGATATATTATTACCCAACGGCTCCGTGATATAAAATATGTAGCATTGATCACGAGTGATGCAATAACAATAGAGTAAGCTTGAGAAGATGTTTAACAGATGAAACCTTGAGATTTCAACCTTTTGTATTAAAGAATCGACGACAATTTCGGATTGCTTTGGCCTCGCAAACCTCGCGACAAAAAACACGAGGCTCGCAGGCGCCGAAATCTACGTTTGGCGTACATTGAAGTCCGGACGAAAAATACAAAACTTCCCTTGGAACACTCACATTTATTTGCCAAAGGCAGTAATTGTATTGTGACACAAATCTTACCTGTTGGTTGAGGACTTCTTATAGAGTTTTTATCGTATTTTTCCTTGTCCAATGTAACGTTGCTTGTCGTGATTCTGGGAGGGAGAACGTCTCGTTCGTGCCTGTCGTCCGGCTGGTAGGTCATACTCGTACGTTTATCTCAACCGACCATCGAGTAAACCAGACGAGTGTCCAACAAACAAAACTTGTGAAGAAGATGAAAACTTTTTCGCCAAACGAAGGAAGCAAAAACGACAACAACGTTGCAAACGGCACAAAATTTTCGCGGATTTGTCCCAAAGCACAGGAAACTTCTTCTATTTCATGCGCACGCATGTACAAAACGGAAGTAAAATGACTTCCGGATCCTGTTCGGTTGTAGTAAATTATTCTTAGCGAATTTTTCCTCAATATAATTATTTTTGAGGAATGCGCGGATAATTTGCGCGATTTTTTTAACGACAGAAAAATGAAAAATAGGAGCAATCGCGGACTCGCGGTACCCGTGCGTGAGAAAATTTGCGAGAATTTTGTGAATTATGTAATAATTGTGTCATCAATTTTGGGATCGGCTCTTCCCATCCAAGTTCTACTAGCCTGCGAACAGGCTCTCAAGCTGAATTGAGAGCCTGCATCGATGACTAATAAATTTGAATATCTGCGTCTCAAATCGTGACGCGAAATTCTCATTGGTCAGATGATATAATTTATATGTTTCGGCTGAGCTCTATATATGTCAACTGCTAAGCACTATGCATAAAAAACACATTAACTGATCAAATTGGTCTTGGCCATCTTTAATATCTCAAAGCACGAAATGTTCTGTTTTGAGAAAACAGTATTTAAAACATTTAAACTTTTGCTTGAATATCTTATATTTCGAAAAACAGTATAAACTGTATGGTCTAAATTTAGCTTGCACGGTCTAAATTTAGTTTGCACGAAAGTTGTAAACAACACCATATAAGGATAGACATTCCATATTTGGAAAAACGAACGTTACGGGGCAGATATTCAAATTCTTTAGTCATCAATGCAGGCTCTCAATTCAGCTTGAGAGCCTGTTCGCAGGCTAAAGTTCTACAAATTCTCCCCGATCTTGTGGTCTGCAGAAAATTGGAAATGTTCTCTTCTTCAACATCTGTTCCTTCACAGTTAGGATCTTCATTGTCTTCTTCGTCTTCATTGTCTTCTTCGTCTTCATCGTCTTCAATGTCATCATCACTCCCAATTTCCTGTTCTCAATTTATTTCCTGTCAAATTATCTCCTCTTTCTCTCCTACTGTATATATACAGAGTTACAACCCTTTGATAAAATGATGGGGAGGGATAGGAAATATTAGACGGAATGGCCAAATGCACTCCTTTTTGGTAATGGTTGTTCTTCAATGGTGATGCTTTTAGGTCTATTTCACTCTTTATATTCAACAGGAATGACTGTTTTTGAAGCAAACAGACTCCTTGCAATGTACAAGACACCGTATGCAGTACCATCAGGGTACCATCTACTATTACTGGTACTGCTGAAAGCAATGCAAATCTTAAACCATCCGCAAAAATAAAGCTAGATAAAAATTTAGGCTGGATTCCAAAAGAAATGAACAAATTCTATAACAATGTTTATGAATCATTCTATTTGGAGCGTAAAGGAGCATACTGTGACCAAAAAGCCGGGGATGATGATTTCAAAAATCAAGCAGGCAGACCGTATTAAGTCTGAAAAGGATCCTTCGCAGGCTGGGTATTTTCTCAGGGAAAACCATGTGCTAAAACCGCACGATAGTGGAACAATAAGACAGAACATTATACATATAAATCACCTTCACAAATCTATTGACAAGGTTGAAAATACCGGCCCTAAAAGAATTGAATATCTGGGCGAATTTTGACAGGATATAATACAGCTCATGATTTTGATGTAGCTCAGTTATCTCAGTTGCAGAGTGTTAAAAGTCTTAAAACTTAATTAACTACTCTACGTACTAGCTAGACTTGTAGAACGTCAGAAAACATGTGCATTAGTTTTCAGACACAACTTTTCTGCAATGAAGAGGAAGTCACGCTCAAGAAAGCAGAACATTAGTAAGTGCAAAAAACGGAAGAAGGCGAAACATTCAGAAAGAAAGAGAGAGAGAAAAATCGCACCAAATTTACCTGAAGGAAAAACATGCATAAAGGAAGCTACTCGGCCAGCAATCGTCAGGGGACTCGGAAAAAGACAAAAAAGTGGGCAAATGCATTAGCTTCTTTAGAATTGAATCTTTTAGATAATCACGCTAAGAAAGAACTGCGTAGTAATTTTTGTAGGTTGGATGGAAACTGCATACGACTTAAAACTGACGTGGTAGCAATGATGATGATAATAATGATGACGACGAGAGTGGTGATAATTGGGAAAACGCTTATATGATGAAAGTGGTACAGCTGTACTCGGTGAAAGTGATTGATATTGTTACGTTCTGATAATATTGATGGTACTGATGATATTGAGGGGACCTGATGATAGATCGTGACTAAAACACCACACGAGTACATACGAGTAACACACAAGTACATACGAGTAACACACGAGTACATACTACATACGAGTACATACGAGTAACACACGAGTACATACGAGTAACATACGAGTAAAACACAAGTACATACGAGCACATACGAGTAGAATACGAGAACATACGAGTAAAATACGACTAGTAAACTTGTTTTTAGTGTTTGTAGATTGAATACAGGCAAAAAGATCGTCTTCTTTGTCGAAAAACGTGGAATGGGGGAACGGGGAATGGAGGAACAGGGAATGGGGGGAACGGAGGACGGGGAATGGAGGAACGAGTAACGGGGGGGGGGAGGAATCGAGCAATTATGAATTATTATTAATACGTAATATTAATCATATGTACGGGGGGAAAAGAACAGAAAAAAAGAAACAGAAATTCGACAGGATAAACGGGAATCGGGGAATTACGAAACTATAAAACGGACTCTGGTGTCTTGGGAATTAGAAAACCGCTCAATGAATTAAAACTAGTAAAGAAATTTAGCGAAGCTTTCCTTTATTAGTACAGCGTATCATAAAAAGGTCAATCCACATTCTTATGTAATATTAATAATAATATTGCTTATGTCATTACTAATATACTTGCTATATAATAAAACAAACTTAAGGACTAGATGCAAGTCCAAGGCAGTCCTTATGCTCCATATGATATCTTAAAGTGATTATCCTATTTTAAATATCTTACAAAGCAAAACTAACAAAACACAAAATACTTCAAAATACGCAGATTTTAAGCTAGCAATTTAAGTTGGCAAGTACGTTTCTAAAGGACCCAGCCGAACTCTCCTGCAAGCCTTTGGACGTGCTCCACCTTGAAAAGGGGAGGAAAGTCTGGAGGAACGAGAACGTCGCCAAGAAAGCTTGGATACTTTGCTCTGATGCAGGCTGATCGGAAATTAAAATGCATGTTCTGAGGCTCGCTGTCCCTATTTCTTAAATTTATACAAACAAACCAGCGAAGAATAACAAATTGATAAACGGAACGTAAGTTTTAGGCTTTCTCCTTTCTTCTTGTTTAACAAAATCGATTTAAAGGACTGTGTCACCGCGTGCGCATCCTACGTGTTTCTAACACTAAGTAATGATAAATTATTGTTAATATTTTTAAAATTCTTTGTGCGTTTTTTCCTTCTTTTATTTCAAATAGAAGTATAGTTAGGATAAATTTTAGAGCAAATTTAGATGCTCAGACGGCAGGAACTAATGGCATTTTTGGGCTTCAAATTTCAAAAATTTTCTGGGGAAGTATGCCCCCAGACCCCCCTATTCATTCACGGTATGTCGGCCACACACGTGACCCACGGCCATTACTATCCCCCTTTAATAATAAGTAATGGATAAATTATTGTTAATATTTCTTTTATTTTTTCTGCATTTTTTTCCTTCTTTTATTTCAAATACAAGTATAATTAGCATAAATTTTAGAGCAAATTTAGATGCTCATAAAGCAGGAAATGGCATTTGAAAGGTTCAAATTTAAAACATTTTCTGGGGGAGTATGTCGGCCACACACGTGGCCGTCGGCCATTGCTATCCCCCTCTAATATATTATCTCACAGAAAGGTCCCTTTTCAAAAAATGCCCCCCACGGGAAAATCCTTAAAAAAGGCCCTGTTGTCCTGTATTTCGGTCTCGGAACTGTCGTATGTCGCGGTATAAGTTAACTGTGTAGTTCGTATATTTGCCTAGCCACATGTTGTGATTGAGGCTATGTGAGGATTGTAAGTTTATCACCTAGTACTATTTAAGTATAGATGCAGTTAGGTTATGTGCATGCTCACAGGGTTTTGAAAGCAAACCATGCCGTGAAATATGTGAAGCCTATGGTCTGTGTCATGTATCTAACTATCTAGGTAGAATACCTAAAAGTAGATGTTGTACAAACTACAAAATTGTGGTTTATAGAATCGGGCAGACCTCCCCCGCCCCTATCCCCCCCCCTCGCCCCACCATTCCCTCCATTCCCCGCTCCCCCCATTCCCCGTCCCCCCATTCCCCGTTCCCGCATTCCCCGTTCTCCCATTTCCCGTTCCTCCATTCCCCCATTGCCCGTTCCTCCATTCCCCGTTCCTCCATTCCCCGTTCCTCCATTCCACGTTTTTCGACAGAGAAGACGATCTTTTTGCCTGTATTCAATCTACAAACACTAAAAACAAGTTTACTATTCGTATTTTACTCGTATTCTACTCGTATGTACTCGTATTATACTCGTATGTACTCGTATGTACTTGTGTTTTACTCGTATGTACTCGTGTGTTACTCGTATGTTACTCGTATGTACTCGTATGTTACTCGTATGTACTCGTGTGTTACTCGTATGTACTCGTATGTACCTGTGTGTTACTCGTATGTTACTCGTAATGTACTCGTGTG